TGAGTATATGGATGGATGAACGAGTAGATGGATGGATGAGTGAGTAGATGGATGGATGAGTGAGTAGATGGATGGATGAATGAGAAGATAAAAGAACGAGTGGATGAATTGTGAATGGATAGACTGGAGGATGAATGTATGGATGAATGGATGAGTGAATGTATATATGTAAATATGTATTATGTATATAACGTATGAATGGATAGATGACTGGTGATTGGATAGATGGATGATTATATTCATGTATGTTATTGTTGTTGCTAGGTGCCATTGAGTCAGTACTGACCTGTAGTGACCCCGTGCACAACAGAATGAAACACTGTCCAGTTCTGCACCATCCTCACAACTGTTGCTATGTTTAAGCCCACTGCTGTGGTCACTGTGCCAGTCTGACCTGCTGCGGTCTTGTTTTTTGCTGACTTTCCACTTTACCAAGCATGATGTCCTTTTCCCAGAATCAGTCCCTCCTGATAACATGCTCAAAATATGAGAGACAAAGCCTCTCCACCCTCACTTTTAACAAATATTCTGGCTGTAGTTCTTCTAACACAGATTTGTTTATTCTTATGGCAGTCCATGGAACTTTCAATATTCTTCTATTTCAATGCCACAATTCAAACACACCAATTTTTCCAGAGCTTTCCTTAGGCATTGTACAACTTTCACATTCCTTTGAGGTGAATGAAAATACCATGGTTTGGGTCAGGTGCATTTTAGTCCTCAAACTGACATCTCTGCTCTTCAATTCTTTAAAAAGGTCTAGTGCAGCAGATTTGCTTAATGCAATAACACATCATCTGAGTTTTTGACTGCTGCTTCCTTGAGTGTTTATGGTTGATCTGAGCAAATGAAGTCTTTGACAACTTCAATCTTCTCTCCATTGATAAGAATGTTGTTGCTCATTGGTTCAGTAGTGAGGATTTTTGTTTTCCTTACATTGAGATGCAATCCATATTGAAGGCTGTGGACTTGGATCTTCATCAGTAAGTATTTTAAGTCCTGTTCATTTTCAACAAGCAAGGTTGCATCATCTGCATATCGCAGGTTGTTAATGAGTCTTCCTCCAATCCTGATGCCACCTTTTCCTTTATATAACCCAGCTTCTTGGATTATTTGCTCAGCATACAGTTTGAATAAATTATGGTGAAAGAATACCATTCTGGCTCACAACTTCTCTAATTTTAAACCATTCAGTGATCCTTTGTTCTGTTTGAACAACTGCCTCTTGGTCTATGTACAGATTCCTCATGAGGAACAATTAAGTGTTCTGGAATACTCATACTTTGCAACATTGTCCATAGCTTGGCATGATCCACACAATTGAAAGCCTTTGTGTAGTCAATAAAGCACAGGGAAACATCTTTCTGATATTATTGGCTTTCAGCCAAGATCCATCTGATGTCAGCGATGATATCCCTCGTTCCATGTCCCCTTCTAAATCCAGCTTGAACCTCTGGAAGTTCTCTGTCAATGTATGGTTGCAACCATTTCTGTATTACCTTTGGTAAAACTTTACTCGCATGGGATATCAAAGAGATTGTCAGATGATTTCTGAATTCCATTGGGTCACCTGTCTTTGGAATGGGCACAAATATGGATCTCTTCCAATCAGTCGACCAGATAGTTGTCTTCCAAATTTCTGGGTAGAGATGAGTACGTGCCTCCAGTGCTGCCTCAGTTTGTTGAGAGATTTCAATTTAGATTCCATCAATTACAGGTGCCCTGTTCTTTGCTAATGCCTTCAGTGCACTCTGGACTTCTTCCTTCAGGATCATTGATTCTTGATCATATGCTACCTCTTAAAATGGTTGAATATTGACTATTTCTTTTTGGTACAGTGTCTCTGTGTATTCCTTCTGTCTTTTTTTGATGCTTTCTGCATCACTCAATATTTTCCCCATAGAATCCTTCAATATCTCAGGTTGAGGCTTGAATTTTTTCTTCAGTTCCCTCAGCTTCAAAATGTTTTCTAACTCCAGGTCTTTGCACATTTTTAAAATAATATTTGACTTTGTCTTCTTGAGTGGACCTTTGAAATTTCTGTTCAGCTTTTGTACCTCCTCCTGTTTTCCATTTGCTTTACTTTACCATCTCTATGCTGGAGACCAAGATTCAGAGTCTCTTTTGACAGCATTTTTTTTCTTTTCCTTCTTTCTTGTCTCTTAATGACCTTTTGCTTTCTTTCTGCCTGATGGTCTCGATGTCCTCCCACAACTCTTCTGGTCTTTGGTCTTTAGTGTCAACTACATCAAATCTGTCCTTCAGATGATCTCTAAATTCAAGTGGGATACATTCAAAGTCATTTTGGCTCTCATGGACTTGTTTTCATTTTCTTCAGCTTCAGTCTGAATTTGCATATGAGTAATTGATGGTCTGTTCCACAGTCTGCTCCTGGCCTTGTTTTGGGTGATGATATGGAGCTTTTCCACCATCTCTTTCCACAGACGTAGTCAATTTGACTTTTTGTGTATTCTATCTGGTGAGGTCCATGGGTACAGTCATCTTTATGTTGTTTAAAAAAGGTATTTGAAATGAATAACTCATTGGTCTTGCAAAATCCTATCGCGATCTTCAGTATTGTTTCGATCACCAAGGCCACTGATCTTTCCTCTTTGTTTCCAACATTTGCATGTATGTATATATATATATTTGTAAGGAGCTCTGGTAGCATAGTGGTTTTGAATTGGGCTGCGAACCGCAAGGTCAGCGGTCCGAAACTACCAGCTGTTCCGTGGGAGAAAGATGAGGCATTTTGCTCCTGTAAAGATTAACAGCCTCGGAAACCCTGCACAGGGTCGCTATGGGTCAGAAACAACTCGATGGCACTCAACAACAACAACATATATGTATATATGTAAGTATGGTGGTGTAGGATAAGAGCTGGACCCCAAGGTTGGTTTGAACCACAAGGTCGGTGGATGACTCTATGCATGTATGTATATATGTAAGTATGCATGCACGTATGATGGATAGATGACTGGATGGATGGATTGATAAAGGGAGGATGGGTCTGTCAAGGCCCATACACTAAAGACAGTACGTGAGGGCACAGGACAAAGCATTTAAAGGGAGAACTCTACGTTGTTGTTCACCGCTGTGGACCCCACCCTGACTCATAGTGACCCCGTGCATGATGGAACAGAATGCTGCTGGTTCTGGTGCCACCCCACCGTGGAACGCAGATCAGACCATTAAGATCCATAGGTATTTTTTAATAGCAGTTGTTGTTGAGAATACACATAGCAAAACACGCAGCAATTCCGGTTTCTAATGGGCCACCCAGTGGTGCCTTCTTGCCCTCCTCTTCTGAGATGTTTCTTCTCCATGGATGTTTCCTGAGCTTCTGATCCAACCTTTCAAGATGCTGCTGTGAATCTGATCCCATATGTTGTTGTTATTGGTATTGTTAAGTTTCGTCAAGTGGGTTACAACTTATATCCACCATGTATATGGTTTTCAAGGAGCAGCTGGTGGGTTTGAACCACTGACCTTGAGGTTCAAACTGATCTTGTGGCTTAGTGCTTTATCCTACGGTACCACAACAGCAATCTGATCCCATATGTTGTTGTTAAAGACCATTGCGTTTGTTCCAATTTATAGGACCCTGTTCAGGGTTTCCAAGGAGCGGCTGGTGGGTTTGAACCTCTGACCTTGAGCCTAGCAGTCCAGTGCATATCCTACAGTGCCACATTAGAACTACTGAAGAGTCCAGGGATATTTATGATTTAAATTTGAAGATGAGCTCAGGGCAATAGTTTATTCATCGGCTGCTTGTCAGAAATCGATCTCCAGAACACTCTTCCTAGTTCATTTTAGTCAGGAACCTCTGTGAAACCCGTGCACCATCACAACAACACAAAGCTCTGCGGTGTATGAGGTGCACTGGCCAGGAATCGAACCCGGGTCTCCCACAGGGAGGGCAGCCTGTCTCTCTTCTGGCACCCAGTATCTCCTTCTCAAAGCGCTTCCAAGTCTGTACATCCATTGTGGGTGTGGCAACCATTCCCAACTCACAGATAGGAATGCTGAGAGAGCAAGGGGCTGTGTGTGTGTGCTGAGGGAGGATCCGGACTAGAACCCGGGTCCCCAGCCCCCTCTATCAGGACTCCTCAGCATCACTGTCAAGTCTCTTTGGAAATTTCCGGAGATCCTCTATCTGCACTGGGTTCCCACACTGCTCAGGCCCCACGGCCCATTCCCAGCACCCTGCTGAACTCCAGTACCGTTTCCACGGAGACAACAAGTGGAGACTCATCCCTCTCTTCCCCCCCCCCCCCCC